TCAGTGGTTGTTGTTGTTGTTTGCGATCCGGCCTCTGGTTCATGACAAAAGGGCAACCTTGGCGGAGTCCAACTCTCACCGGGAACAAGCCCGACTTACTGCCGGCGATGCGGACCAGGCTCTGACACCGGTCATACAGGGACCTAACAGCCTGTATCAAAGGGCCTGGTACCCCATACTCCCAGAGAACCCCCCACAGGGCCCCCCGAGGGACACGGTCGAACGCCTTCTCCAAGTCCACAAAGCACATGTAGACTGGTTGGGCAAACTCCCACGCACCCTCCAGGACCCTGCTGAGAGTGTAGAGCTGGTCCAGTGTTCCACGGCCAGGACGAAAACCGCACTGTTCCTCCTGAATCCGAGGTTCGACTATCCGACGGACCCTCCTCTCCAGAACCCCCGAATAGACCTTACCAGGGAGGCTTAAGAGCGTGATTCCCCTGTAGTTGGAACACACTCTACGGTCCCCCTTTTTGTATAGGGGGACCACCACCCCAGTCTGCCAATCCACCAAAGTGCTTAACAAAAATATCACATCATCAAATGTAGCAAGATATATTTACAGCACATGGAATAAAAATATAAAACCAAAAACAATTAGAAACAATGAAATACTAAATCAGATCACGTTGTGTCAAAAGTCAAGGAAATAATAACAAAAAACGTAAACTCAGTCAGAAACAATGAAATACTAAATCAGATCTGATGACCTTGTGTTAAATAGGAATAATAAGAAAAGCATAAACAGAATCAGTATCAATGAAAAACTAGATCTAAATCCAATCACCCTGTGTTAAATGTCAATGAGTATAGATGTGTTTTTAGGAGAGATTTAAAAGCAGAGACTGAGGTGGCCTGTCGAATGTTGATGGGCAGATTGTTCCAAAGTTTAGGGCCCGTGATTGAAAACGCTCAATCTCCTCTGAGCTTCAGCCTGGTTTTTGGTACGGCCAAAAGCAGCTGGTCTGATGATCTCAAAGCCCGAGAAGGAGTATAAGGATGAAGAAGGTCGGAGAGATATGATGGTGCAAGGCCGTTAATGCACTTGAATGTCAGCAGGAGAATTTTAAACTCAACTCTGACACGTACAGGAAGCCAGTGAAGGGAGGACAGAACCGGAGTAATGTGCTCAAACCTGTGAGTTCCTGTTAGTAGCTGAGCTGCAGCATTTTGTATGAGCTGGAGACGTGAAAGTGAAGCCTGACTAACCCCAACATAAAGCGAGTTACAGTAGTCCAGCCGAGTTGTGATGAATGCATGGATTAGTTTTTCAAGGTCAGATCTGGACAGAACGGACTTAAGCTTTGCTATCTGCCTTAGCTGAAAGAAGCTTTTTTGTAGAACAGAGTTGATCTGTTTATTAAACTTAAAGTCCGAGTCTAACACTACCCCGAGATTGGTAACCTACTGCTTTAGATGAGGCTGAAGGGAGTGCAGGTTTACAGGATCAGTGACAGTGGTAGAGCTTGGGTTAAACACAATGACCT